GAGGAGGAGGAGGAACAGAGAGTTTTCTAACAATTGAAAAAATAAAAAGCGCGCCAGGTAGGGGTCGAACCTACGACTTTCTGCTTAGGAAACAGACGCTCTATCCACTGAGCTACAGGCGCTGGTTAGTGTCTAACAACAATATTAAAAACCTTTTACTAATATCTTTCTTCCCCTACCATACCCAAAATGGTGGTTCTTGAAAATTTTAGTTGGTATAGAACACAAAGATAATATTAAAAATAATAAATCAAATGTTCTAGGAGATTCTAATTTCTTACAAAACAAAATGCTTCTCCAAGGAACGAATTGTATGTCTTTTATGCAAAACAATAATTTAAAAGATAAATCAAACAGTTAAAAAGTAGAATGGACAGAGGTGCAGCAGAGAGAACAATCAGCGAAGTGCTTGACCACATGTGAGAACTGAGGAAGTACAGTGGTTTCTATTTTGTTTTACATAAATTAAATTTTGCTTAAAACCCTATTTTTGTCCTCTTATTTTAATAAAAAAAAATTTTAATTTTATTATTTAATTTTTTTGAATCTTTTTATTATTTTTTTTATACATGATGTGTTAGATGACAAAAGAATTTTATACTTTAGGGATTGTACAGTTGTGTGGCAGGTGCATGTTAAGTTAGATAACGATTGACGAACACCAAAATGATGATCTTAAAATGTGACGTTTGTCGCATGATATGTATTATATATACCAACAGTTAAAGAATGGTTTTCTACCAAAAAAAAAAACAGTTAAAGAATGGCGACAATATCAAATGCATCCTCAAATTTGTGGCGTTGAAGCAAATTAGTCCCCATACACTTTTACGAGCCAAATCACCCCTAATCTTGTAACTTGAGTCAAATCCACCCTTGGGTAACAGATGCCAGTAGCCGTCGGTCCACGTTAACCATCTTGACATGCCATCCTCTGCAGTTTTTTGCGGTATGGCTGGATTTCCCTAAAAAAGACTGTGAATAGGACATGTGTTAAATGAGAAAATCATATATTATAGGTTAAATATAAAAAAAGTTATTTTATGTATATTATAAATTAATTTTATGTTAAATATAAATTTTATATTGTATCTCACATATCAAACTATTACAACATAAAATTATTAAGATTATATTTTTTATAAACAAAATAAGTGAAGCACAAGTGATACTCTAATGTATGTGGAGTTAAAATTACTCAAGCTTGTGAAGAAAAGATGTTGACCAAGAGAGGAAATAGCAGAACTCTTTTTCTACTGAACTCACGCACACATACTGTCTACTTCTTCAATTCTGTTTTTCATACTTACAAAAGTCAGTGATGTACACCTAATGTGCATATTCTAGAGTATTTTTTTTTTGTTTACAATATTTTAATTTACCATACATACAAAAATCTAGACACACTTAACGTAACTTTTTCTCCGTCATATATTCTTGTGTGGATTCAATTTACTTTGTAGTAAAATATTTGCTTCTAGAAGACTTTTACTTCATCAGCTTTTAGATCTCAAGTCGGTGATGAATATTTTAACAAAAGAAACCAAAGCACGCACCCTTACAACACTCAAAACTGTCTCATGATCATAAATTAAGATGCTGACGGGAATTTTCTGTTAAGATCAGCTGCTGCAACTTTTGAACTTTCGAAAGTTTTTCTCTATTTCTGCAAACGGATTTGACTTTTGAGTACCTCTTGTAACTCTAGCTAGCATATCATCAAGTTATCAACCCAGCAATTTTTTCAAAAAAATGGTTCCAATTCTAAGAATCCATATATAGACCAAAATAGCAGCAAAGAATTAAAATAATAGCTGTCATCTCCCAAAATCTAGCTACTATATGTCTATCCATGGTTCCAAAGGCAAACTGCACTTAAAACGTTAATCCTTAACTGAACTTGGACAAACCGAACTGAAAGCCTACCAATACAACAGCAGCATATCATCCACAATTTACATCGACACTTAAGAACCATGCAACACACAATGACTCAAATTATAGTGTTATATATATATATATATGAGAAATTGCAATGTTTTGTTGGATATTCACATGTGAGTACAAAGAATCTTATATTGAAAGTAAAGAGCAAAAAATCTATGACTTATATATGTAAAGACTTAAGAACCTAATAATTTAGTCTTTTGAGTTTAAAATGATGTCTTTACATATTGGGATCCTTGCTTAAGTGAATCTATTAATCCAATTACTTAATCCAAGGAGGTGAGTAGTGCCTTGGACTACCAACATGTTTTTAGACATAAAGCAGAGTCGAGCATCTTATATACTGCGCCCTGCTCACCATGGCGCCATAGATCAAGAAAATGACACGGTTTGTGCAGCATCTCTCTCTTTTGCAATTATTTTCCCTCAAAAAAGAAAAGAAAAGAATAATATATATTGGTCGGTCCAAGATTTTGCTTTATGAACATCAAATTAAAGCAGATTCGATCCTTTCCTTTTACCACCCACACGACACGGGTCAAGTCTAGCACTTCGTGTGGCTAGTATACATCAACCAAGTTTGGGGTTTCGAACGTGGCCTTCCCCTCCCAGCCACATAATTTATTTTAATATTTTGTATAATATATTTATTTGAAAAATTATTATCTTTGATTCAAAATTAAAAGTAAAAAAATAAAAAAATATAATAATAGACAGAAGATGTAAAAATTATTTAAATTAATTATATTTATATTATATTTTCAATAATTAAATAAAAAATATTTAAAAAATATCAAATCTAGTGTGGAGTAATTATTTTACTTCTGTCTTATACTACCTCTAGCTTATTACATACTTCAATGGTTCAAACCATGCAGATGACCGAGCTTAGAGAGTAGCTAGCCTCTTTATATCACAAACACAAGAGAGAAGCTTACATAAACACAGAAATTTTTTGATCAGCTAAATAAAATTATATTATTGAAGGAATAAATGAGTACTTCCACTTATTACAAAGTTAAAATTTGTAAACCCTATAACCAAAATAAAATGGTAACACTCATCTACTATTTAAATATCCATCACTTTTTGTTAAAATGCTTTCGAACTTTTTCGATATTTTTTAATTGATACTTCGTACACTACTAATTGAACGCACGAATCTTGAAAAGTAAACACACAATGTTCCCTACCTTTTATCCAATGAAAAGTCTTAGTTTGAATAAAATCTAACACCATATGTCTCCCATAACCACATTACTACCAAACAGTTTAGGGGTGGATGTGGTTTGATTTCAGTTATAACTAAAACTGAATTATCGGTTAACTAAATTTTAAGATTTTAAATTTTAGTACCCATTAATCAAATTGCAAAAGGTAGGTTTTATCCATTTCAATTTTAATAAAAAAAAATTATTTTTATGTATTTTAGTATTCTTTGAATTTTTTTAATTAATATTTTATTAATTTCAATCACTAAAAAATTAAAAATTATGCAAATAAATAAATAATTTAGTAAAAAATTACAATAAAACCTTTAAAAAAATAGAAACTATTAAAAAATTTATATAAAAGGTTTTTAGTCTGAAATTTTAAGTTATACTCACTTTAGTCATTAATTGGTTTTTTCAATTTTTAGACCTAATAATCAAAACCCAACCCATTTAAAATTAATTCAGTTCAATTTTTAGTCAAACAAACTCAAAAACTAGTTAAACTCTACCCGTCGATTATAGTTTCATCAGTTTTTAGAATTTTTTTGGTTGTAGATTTTTTGGCCCACCCCCAACAACCATACACTCCAAACAAAGTAACAGAAATATTAAAACCCATACATCCAAGCACCCTCTTATAGAAACAAAATTAATTAATTACACATTTTTTCTATGAACAATAAAAAAAAATAAAAAGGTTTTGTTAAAACTGAATAGTAATGGTACTTAAATGCTTTTACAATCATTTTAGATATAAATCTCAAAAAAGAGTTTAAAAACAATCCACACTATGCATAAAAGAAAGAAGCTAGACAAAGCCATTAATTAAGTTTAGGGATGTCAACGGCGCCCCGCGGGGCCGGGGAGGCCCTCCCCATCCCCGTCCCCGTCATTCCCCGCGGGAATTTTTGACGGGGGGCAAAATTTGCCCCCCGTCCCCATTCCCCACTAATTATATCTAAATATACATTTTTTTAGACCAAACATAATCAAAATCACAGCAAACACATCAAATCAACTTTGACTTTGAGTAGCAGCAGTGTGGCGCAGCAGTGGCGCAGCCGTGGCGGGGCAGTGGCGCAGCCGTGGCAGATCAGTGGCACAGCGGCAGCAGTAGTGGTGTAAACGGATTTGGTTCGGCAACAGCAGTCCAAACTCCAGTTCTAGGCAGAAGGGTGAGATGTGGAATAGAGAAGGATAGAAGGGCGGCAATGAAGGGATTGAGGGATTTAGGGTTTGAGATTTGTAGGGAGGGCCAAAAGGGAAGGTGAAAGATGACTTAAGTGAGTGTGTGTGTGTGTGTGAGAGAGTCGAAGGGTGAGAGGCAGGGGCAATCACTTGCAGAAATGGAGAAATAAATAAGGTTGCCTAGGGTTAAAAGGATGCTTAGGATTAAAAAGATTGGGTTGGGCTTTGAGTTGGGCTTTGGGGTGGGTTAAATTTTATTGAATTGGGTTGGGTTTTAAAATTATTTTAAATTTAAAATGAAATTAATTTATTATTTTTAATTTTTCGCGGGATGGGAAAAATTCCCCGTGAAATTTCACAAGGGGAAAATACCCCCCGTTCCCGCCCCGCGGAGAGGAATATTCCTCCCCACCCCGTTCCTGTGGCGGGGATCCCCACGGGGTCACGCGGGGATCGAGGTAAATTGTCATCCCTAATTAAGCTACGTAATTAATTACATATATACTCCACAAAGGGAGAGTTCTTCATTTACAGCTCTATATTTGTATATAACATATGCTGCTGCTGCTGCTT